GCTTGGTTCCTTGGCGATGGACCATCAGGCAGCTGATCTCCTACAGCAATAGATACATTCAAAATGAAACATTCATTGGGGTCATACTCTCTCCCTGCTTCTTGTAGCTCTTTGCAGTATTCACCAAGGTTGTCTTTGAAACTCTCAAGTTCTCGAAGGGAAAGGTACGTGGGGGACATATGTAAACTATCCAGTCCATATTGTAAAAAGTTACTAGAGGAGGCCGGGTTTGGGAAGCCCAGGAACAGCACTCCTCTGCCTCGGGAAAGATAGCCAACTTTAGCGATACGAGAGAAGGCTTTGTGGACATCAACAGTCTCCCGGCAGTGTTTGATGATGTGGCGGCATGTGCTACCAATTCTGCCATATAAGCAACTCTCCTTATGTAAGTCCCAGTCCTCTCGGCGACAGTTTCTGGAACAGTAATAAGTGTAGCAGCTGTGGCAGGATTTAAAGTACAAGCATGCATTAAATAAAGTCTCAGTTCTTCGACATTTGTTGTTGGAGCACATCATGGTATCATCCTCATCGGGACTTTGATCTGGGGAGCATTCATCTGCACTCTTCATGGCATCACTTGCTCCATCCATGTCCCTAAAGTCTGAGGTCATCCTTATGGAAGTGGGCTGTTTGTCTAGAGGAGGGGGCTCCTCCACACACACCTTTGGGGTTTTTCTACAAAGAGACACTGCCTCCTCTTCGTCGATTAACTTCTTCAGCTGATCTAGAATGTCCTCACTGGTCCTTCGGCTTGGGGGTTTGTAGTCAGTCACAAGATCTGCTAGAAGCTCATCGAGCTGCTCAAGGCTCTGCTGTAGTGAGGCATTGTCATGTGTTTTTTCTTTGGTTGGTCCTTCAAACCCATGCTGAGAGTGCTCTGGGCCATCTGTGCTTCTAGAGTCAAGAATGTCCCAACTAGCAGACCTCCCATCTGCCTTGGTGAGGTTTCCCGGTCGTATATCGTTGTCCGTTATTGTTATTTCTGGTGTTACAAACCAGAGTTTACTGGTGGGGCTCTTTGAAGCCTCTGTTGGGCTTTTGTCAACCAGCGAATTATCAGACATGGACAGAGCAGCATAGCGTCTTGGTGAACTAGAGAGATTTACCACCACTGGTTGTGGCTTGTCATCTGTTTCTGTAGGGTGCTTCCTGGACTCAAGAAGATCATCAAAGCTCTGTCCACGATGAACAGGCTGTTCCCGCTCAACACGAGAGTTAAGGATGTTGTCCCAAGATCTAGAGTAGGATTTGGCCTCTGTACCAATTCTTGGGGGCTCCACACATGGATTAGTATACCATGATGATAAGGCTGGCTCTTGTTGGACTCTGGTTGGAGTAACTTGTGACACATAAGAAGCAGGGTTAGTGGAATATCCGGATGCGTCTGAGCCATACCATTCATCAGCTTGAGCCTGTATTACTCTGGCATGTCTGCGTCCCTCCGTGTAATAGGCTCTGGATGGGATGTGGTGCTCTGGAGCCATAGCATACATCTCTGTTGGATAATAGAACCTTGGTGGGGCTGTTTGTATTTGATAAGATCTTGGATCATCCCCATAGATTATTCTTGCAGGAGGTGTTTGAATGATGTATGGCCCAGGCTCATTGGTCCCATACGGTTTAGGATAACCAGAGTATGGGTATGACTCCATCTCTGGGTAATAGGGCTTTGTGGATACTGCATGCACCAATCGTGTCCTTGGATCTTGAACATATTGTACTTTAGGAGAGTGTGAGTATGAGCGACCTGGAGAGTAGCGTTCATCATGGTAGTAAGAGCTTGGCTGAGGTGGAGCAGTAGTGACATATCTGTTAGTGTCATCTGCATAAAAAAATCTGGTTGGCACATTAGGACTGGAATGAGCTCTTCGTTCTCTGCCATAATATTCAGTTGAAGAAGGCATTCTCTGCACAGAAACCTCCACTGGTTGTAGATAACTGTTTGGCATGCTACGTGAGTATTGATAGGCATGTCTGCTGTCAGAGTCTGTTGGTGTTGGTGTTCGGGAGTAGGAGAAATGTCGAGGCACAGTCAAGCTCCTGGTGCCACTGCTGTGATGCCTCTGCCACGGGATGTCCATGTTGGGGGAAGCCTGTTTATGTTTTGAATGCTGAACAGCACCATTGTCAGGTTTGATGTCCATGCGACACCTGACATGAGGGCTAGTGGCAGGTTTTTCACTCCCTCTGTCATCCAAATTATCAGCACCATAATGTGGAGAATATCGAGCGCTGTCAGCCATTTGAGGCTGTAGCTTAAGAGGGTGCATTTCATGCACGTGAGCCCTAGTAGCAGCATGAGACGAGTCTCTACGTGGCGATACTTCGGGTCTCCATCGGGCTTCCCGAGGAGTCCTGTGTGACTCCCTCCCTTTTCTCCCTGAAGACGGAGTCCTTTCAAAAGACACTGGAGTGAAGTGTGTTTGGACGCGAGGGGCACTTTTTGATCTAGTCCTTTTTTTTTGCTCAGAAACTACTTCAGTGGAAATGTCCGCTCCCATTGGCTGAGGAGTGAGCCTATGGCTGAAAATATCTGGTGCTGAAAAGCGGTACCTCTGCTGCCGGCCCAAGGCATTCCAGGCCACGTCTGGGTTGGCTGCATGCCTATCTGTCTTTCTGAATGGAGACTCCATTGCGTACTTGTGGGATTTGGGGTATTCTAATGACCTGGAGTCAAAAGTGAGGCAGTGCCTCTTATTGACTGTACTTATACTGTCCTCCAGTGTGTTGACATTTATAGCATCACATTGTGTGAAAGGCTGCAAAGACTTGAAGTGTGAAGAAATAGGAATTACTTTTATGTCTTGATGCACAGTTGATACCAGTATGTCAGGTGGGTCTGTGCGTGTCATCTTAAAGGGACTGTTCTAGTTTTGTCCATAGAGATGTTTTAAAGGTGATGGTGCCTGAAAACAAAGAAAACAACAACAACAATCAGTTAAGTCATTGGTACACGCAAATGTAACTAATTTGATTAATTTGCTCCAGATTTATACCATACCATAATAACAGTTATACAAATACAATAAACCAAGTTTGTTGTAGCGGACCAGTGTTATTATTAATGTTTAATGGTTTGAAGTCTTAATATAATTTTATGACAAAAAGCAAATAAATAAAAGAAGGTCTAATTTGGTGCCAATCACTGCAGAAACAATGTCTGATGAATTATTAATAATGTCATGCAGAGCTTCTGATCACACTGAATGCATCTGCATGACTTTAGCAGATTATTCCATTCCAGTGAAGAGTGAGAGGATATGATAAGATGGAGGGACAACAGTCAGCGAAAACACAGAGAAACTTTTACCAACAATAACTAGTGTTTATTAAGGACAGTCTGAGTAATCATCCAAAAGGAATCTACCCCAGAAGAGTCTCTACAGATAATGTCCATAGAAGAATGCAGGAGTCTGTGGTGGTCAAGCAAACATACATTTCTTAAAATTACATTACCAGAACAAGGTAGTCACTGGGAGAGGTAAATAAGGAGAAATGGGCCATTAAATAGACATACAACCCAATCACGTTCAGTGGGTTAAAAATAACAGGCTTTTTGTGGAGGTTCTGGGATTGGCTGCCTTCATCACAGATGTCTGCATGCTGCAAGTGCTACTCTGCCTTCACACTCTGTCTGACAGCTCATCTTGGTAACACTCTGGGTACAAGACAAGAATCTGGTGAGCATGCTGCCTCATATGCTGGTGGTTGTGCCTTTTCTTGCTACCAGATAAAATAAGAAAACTAATCTAATAAAGCGCTGACAGAAAGTAATAGGGTTAGTCATATCACATCACTGGTATCGTGATATCTATGAGGATGATATCAATTTTGAATATAATGCTGCATGCACTGATGCTAATTTTTCTCTCAGTTGTGAGGGGAATCAGACTTAAAGGGCCCATATTACACTATTTTTTAAAATGTATTTTATCATGTTGTTTCCTCATCAAAAACATAGTTGGAGTTGTGTTTTGTTTTAGTCACACATGTTTAACCTACAGATCCTGCTCAGTTGGGCTGAGCTCTTCTCTCAAAACGAAAACACTCTATTCCACTTCGTGATGCCATGTGGTAATACAGGAAGTGCCCCACTGTGTTTTTAAACTCAGTACACTTTCACTAGAATCATTTGGATAATTTCAGCCTTGGAAATGCCAACCTCTACAGAATAAAAGGTAAAGGGCAGCTGTTAAATTGAAAACTATTAGGTGTGGCTTTTAAAAAGCACCCTCTAGTGGTGTACAAAAGAGGAAGAAACCTCAGAGACAGACTGGTACATTCCTATCTTCCTTCAAACCAAACTACATCAGGCCAAACTACTTTGACTCCTATCCCTGATGGTAATTGTCACTGTGGTGGGTGAAGTCAGTGCAACTACATCGCCATAACAGCTTCAAGCATCCTCATACTGGAAAAGAAATATGTATCAGAGGAATTATATCCTGCAATACCAAGTCTGTCATTTATATGATCACCTGCCCTGTGGTAAAGCCTATGTGGGTAAAACAAGCAGAGCTTTAAAAATCAGATGTAAGAACAGATGTAAATCAGATGTAAAAACATAAACTATCCTGTGGCAGCTCATTTTGTAGATTTTATCCTATCTCTTCCTTAGGATATATTGGCATTGAAAATGAACAACTGCCCCCTAGAGGTGAGAATCTGGAAAAGCTCCTATCAAAAAGAGCTCTTCTGGATTCACCAACTTAAGACTCTTGCTTCTCATAGCTTTAAGGTGGACTTTGACCTGAGACTTGCTTTTTGTGCCATGGTAAAACTATTTTTGTATTTTATAAGAATGTTTTTCATGTAAAAATATCAAACTGTTTTTTTTCTTGTTGTGGAGTGGGCTGATCTCACCGGGTGACCTCACTTTAGGACCTCCTAAGATATGAGCACCTATTTAGGTTAGGGCCACCTAGTGCCTCCACTCAAGTTGGGGCACCAGCCAATCAGTGAAGAGCCATATATTCTGTGTTGGCAACGATTCCCGAGATCGAGGACTTAAATCCGGAACAAAGAGAATGTTCTGTGAAATGTGAAGGGAAAGACGTTATTGCCCTTCTTCCTACGGGATTTGGGAAAAGCTTAATATAGCAGTTAGCCCTGTTAGCACATTACATATGTCACAACTAAATAGCAACAAATGGTTAAATGTAAAAAAAACAAAACCCACCTACCACTGAGTGAAGGAATTCTAACACTGTGAGGTCAGACGGATTCTACAAAGTGAAACCGGCTGATGAATCAGGCTAATGAGCACCTGGGCTGGTAACCATTTCGTATACTGTGGTCCAAAGCAAGAAGGCCTTTTTGCATGAAGGCTTTTTTGCCAAAATGTTATTTTAAAATTAAAAACAAGCTTTTGGACTTTGGCCATTTGAGTATGCTATGCATTTTTTTACTTTTAAACTGAAAAACTACCCCACATGACATCCCATGGTGGGACAGTGCAATTTGAGCATTGGAGATTTAGACAACTAATAATAACATGTAATGGCACAAATGTGTGAATGAAACAAAACACAACTCCAGGTATGTTTATATATAACAATATTATAACATAGCTTAAAACTCCCAAGATTCAACAAGATTCAATTTTGACCTTTAAATACTGTCTGTAAAGGCTCTACAGAGGCTGAAAACTCTTAATAATGAAAGCAAAAGTTAAACAGATTTAAATAGCCCCAAAATAGAATGTGCACATATTATAAAAGCCACTTTTAAGCAACCTGTAAGTTATAATGTTATTGAAAGTTTTCCCTTTATTTTCTATATTTTGATAAAAAAAATGTAAGCCTTGTCCTAGAATGCAATGGATTGTGCATAATAAAAACAAAAAACTAAACTAAACAAACAAACAAAAAAACTTAAACAAGCTGTAGAGCACTATTGGGAGAAACTGTCTCTGACTAAAGGGATGCATACAGTATAAACGTACTGACCCTCCCCCACTATAAAAGACCCTACTCGCTGACCACACACTTGACTGACTTATACTCAAGTGTCAGCTTCAGTTTAACTCTATATTCAAATATTTATTTGAATTGAGTCATTAGCTGCTTTATCCTTTCCGCTTATCCTTCTAACCTCTTAATTTGGGATAGGCTTTCTATCAGATGCCCTTTCTGATATGGCTTCATTTTTACCTAAGCTTAGCAACATATGCGACATACAAAAGCTGTACAAGCAATGAAGATTAAGCAGTGTATAAAGGATACAGTTAGGTCAGACAAAGCTTTCAAATTGGAAAACTAAATAAACAGTATTACAGTGGTTTATGTAACACAAACCAAAGCACACAATAGCATGTCTGAGTAACCATTGCCCTTCAGTGAGATAGAAGGGTTTTTGAGACAGTTCGCCCCGGAGCAGATACTGCATGAGTAGGCCTAACTCAATCATTTCACTATATTGACCTAAAACAGTTGTATAATAACCTTTTCCTGGTTTAGTTAGTTTTCTCAAAGGACTTACTGGAATGATGATGATGAAGCAACATATTACACTGTAAAACGTATTGTCATGACAGGCCTGGCTCTTAGCTGAGAAGGTTACAGAAGGTTACTTTTACAGTAAGAATCTGGGAGAGAGAGACTCAACAAAATAATTGACCTATACTGAAGCCTAGTTTAAGGAACTATTTGTTGGTGGTTCTTAACCCATACACAGTGCAACAAATGATTACGGGTCATCTAATATAACACAATTTAATGCATTTCAATGCATATTTTCGTGGATAGATACAATCTGAATTTACAAAAAGTATGCTAATTTTAGTATATTTAATAGAGTACGATAGTACATTTAAATGTGGTCTAAGGTATATATGCAGTTGGTCCATATGCAGTTGTTACAACCTCTGGGTCATGGCTTTGACTGTAACCATTTGCCAAATGTCGCTTAACCCAACCTCTAGGCTTATGCATCCTCTCATGTTTGATGTGTAGCTGTATGCTTTTCTGTTAGTTGCCTTTTTGGCTGCTGCTTCCTGCCTCCATTTGCACAATTGCCTCCTGAGTCTAGGAAAAAAGCCGTGGTGTTGTGGCCACATTGGTAATAAATCTGCCAGTGTTTTACTGATGCCAACCTTATGCCTCAACAGCAGTTTGTGGAGGCTGTGTGCTCTCTCCATCTTTAATTCGTCTGATCAATAAGTGCCAGATCTTTCACAGCATAAACACAGCTCATTCATTAGATGTATGCCTCTGGGCCTTACTCAATATTCAGCAAACATGTTCACTGCACAGCATAGATTTACATTTAGGAGGCCTAACAAAAATGGCCTGTGTGACCATAGGCTGGTTTTTAGTTCAGTTCATAGCTCCAGAGAGACTCTGTTGTTATCAACAAAGCTTAACTGTTATTATGGCTGACCTAGAAATGGGCTTTGGCCAAGTAATCAAGAGATGGCCCTTTGGAAAGTCTTATGTCTGTTGTGGATGTAAAATCTGCTATAAACTCAATAAGGAATAGCTACACATGTGCAACTGAGCAAGTACAGTGTGGTGTGGTCACAATGGGACTGGAGCACACCAGACTCAAGCGATCTTTAATATGGCCTTTTCATTTCAATAAGCATCTCTTCTATTAATCTCAATGACACACTGATAGGCTTCGACTAAACTCAGTGGCAGGACCTACCAGTGGTTTAATGTTGCACAGTGGGAGAAGTCATCAGTCTGCACTCGAGTAGCTTCACATAAGGCAGCACCAGACTGCACCATGTAGCTGCTTATAAATCTGATCCGAGTTAAACGAGCACATGCAACCAGTGTGGGTCTGTGGAAGAGCAGAGCTCACGTGAAGACAAACGCACTAGGGTCACAGCGGTGCATCAGTTTCGGCC